TTTACTAAAATATTTTTAACTTTAGATGCATCTTTATAGCGATTTAGTGGGTCATATTGCAAAATTTAAATCTCCGAAAGGCCTGAACTAGATCACAAATCTCGGAGCTCGATATCACACAACAAGCAGAAATCTCAGGCCAGTAATTTAGGCAAACAGTAACACTCAGCCTTACAGGGAGCCATTTGTTTTGGCTCAGCACACTGTTCTCTTTACAAACAGTCCGGGTAATTGGCGATACATATCTAATATCAGCAGTCATCGCCTCGCTCCTGGGACGACTCTGACCAGTGAAGTGCAGAGCTGCGTAGCTCTCAGAAACAGAGCCAACACTCTGCTCCTTTTTCTACGCTCGCATCCACATCGCCGCAGCTGACCAGTTCAGTTCAAGTTGGGTTTTTTTTTTTTTCTGTTTCCTTCGCACGCCAGCCCCTCAGAGAAGCCGACGGGTGTCCTTACAAATTCACACAGGCAAAGAGGAGCACTTTATACTGCGAGAAAGAAAAGAGTACATGAGGGACTCCCCGCCATCACTGGCGCATATGATCTGTTAGCTTTTCCTTTACCCTTCCAGCATTACTTTTTTTATACAAAAGAGCATGATCCAAGGCTGTGAACGGGCTTCTCCAGAATGCTTGTGGGTATTAAACAAAGCAGGCTGTTGGTAGGCACTAGTTAACACAATGTAATAGAGAGGGACTAATTAACTACAGTTGCTCTCTGTCTTTTTTTATCGTCTCTTGCTGGATGTTTACAAAGATCTCTCGAAGAAAGAGCAAAGAAAAAACAACTCCAAATAAAAAAAGATGCTTTCTTCTTTGTATGCTCTTTAGGGAGAAAGGAAACACCCAGAACTGATTTTAATGACATGTGTGAAACAAATGTGATCCTCCCTCATTTTTTTTTCTGTTACTGCCAATGGAATTTAGTGCTAAAATACACCATGGGCATTGTGGTCAAAGCATAAACACCATAACTGAGGATGCAGCATGTGAGAATTGTCACCATATGTAAAAATAAAAGGCAGATTGTTTTTCACATTGCCTCTTTGACACTAACAGAGTTCTGCAAAACATCTGCTCGTTTAACATTTATTATCCATCTTCTTGTTGAAGTATACGATTTCATGAAGTATTTCTCATGATTCCGGCATTGCTTTTTGATTTGAGGATGCAATTTCGGGTGAAGAAAGAGAAAACTTTCAGTCGCTGAGACAAAAGAACAGAGCGGAGCATGAGGGGATCTCTGCGTTAGCCTCAGTACAGTTCTGTGCTTTAAGGTTCTGTTCTGTCCGGCATCCTTCTTCTGAGCCGTCCTCTGCTGGAGAGGGAAGGCCGAAGGAGAGAGGAACGAGGAGTAGGTCATAAGCAAGAGGGGAGGAAACAAAGACAGTTTAGGAGTGAGTGGAGGGAATGAGACTCAGAAAATGAGCAATAAAAAGGTAAAAGAAAAAGTGAGAATTGTTGGGAAATATTGCAGACGTTTAGACTGAATATAAAAAAGTGATGAAGTGAAATAAGTTTTCCTCTCAACGTCATCACAGGTAATTTAGGATTTTTTATTATTATTATTATAACATGGAAATTATTTTTCAAAGAAATTTCAAACATTTGCTGTTCTCCTCTGCTATGTACATGTTCAGGATGAGAGATTATATCCAAGTGATGGTTCAATGACTTGCTGATTTCTTTTGAACTTTTCTTTTTAATATAACTTGTCATTTTTACAGCTGTCCTGATTGCTCCTTGCTTCTTACTGATTAGGATTGCTGGGATAGACTTCAGCACCCTCCACCCTGAACATCTCAAAGCAAATAAATGTGTAAAAATCATTAGTCTATATTAAACTGATGGGATTTGAAACTGTTTGCAACATATGTAATAGATTTTTAAATTTAGCTAATTTAATAATTGGTTATGAACACAAAATTAAAGAACACTGTAAATCACACTAAACTGGTACGTTCAACCAAAGACATGCATAACTGAGATTAAATTGCAACATCAATTCCACAGTCCTGCAAAGATTTTGCAATTATTTAGTCATAATTTCATCACAACGTGTCGAAATACTGGCTTTCATTGCAGATCTTCGTTGGTCTTTTTAGCTAGCAAATTTTTATTTAGAAATATTTGTAAAACCACTCATTTTAAATGTGTTTTTAATAGATTTTTAGACCTGAAGACTTGTTAAGGCTGTCCAAAATGGTAAAAGAAAAAAAACTATGACCAAAATTTCAGAAGTAACATTACAGTGAACTGTAAAACAAGAAGATAAGCAACACAAATTAGAAAAAGGAGAAAATATAATAATATATAAAAGTAAAAAAATAAAATAAAATATGTCTTATCTAGACCTATATTAAAAATTGTTGATGCAAGACCTTAATAATGTTAAGGTAAAAAAAATGTGGAGAAAAACATTTGACAAAACGTGATACATAAATAGCAAGAAATATGTAAAGACATTTTTAAAAGAACATAATAGGGATGAAAGAGGGCACATAAGAAACAAAGAGAGGTGAAAGACAGAGAGAGATGAAGGAAATACAAAAAGTGCTGTTTGAGAGTGAGTGGGAGGCATGGAAGCCCCCTGAAAAAAAGAAGGGAGGGATGAGGAGAGAGAAAACCAGCTGACATTAAAATGAAAGAGAGACTGAAGAGTAGGTGGGAGACAAGGGAAAACTGCAAAAGAGAGGGAGGATGGGAAGATGAAAGAGTGCAAGAGAGGGGGAAGAGAGACAACAGGGTGAAGCTGTCAGGGAGAGAGGGAGAGCGAAGTGCCAAACAGATAAATAACCAGCTTACTGGGATTACCGAGTGAATGACACAGAATTTGCCCGAGCCAAAATGACGTGGCAGTGATAGCTCCTAACCCATATAAACCTGAACGTAGTCCAACATGTCCTGTGGTATATTCACTGTTGTCACGTGCCTGAAGCTCTGCAGGGTCTTTTGTTGATCTGCAAGCTTTAAAATAACAAGAGCTGTCTAATGCTACCTGCTGAAGATGAAGAACACATGGACACTGGGGAGAAGATGTGCATTTATGATTAGCATTTTAACAACAGAAATGAAATTACCTAACTCCACTTTTAGTTTGCCTTTAAGCCCAGAGGGTAAAATTATAAAATTTAGTAATATTTAAAAGTGCATTTGCAGATTATTGGAACTTTACTTGAAATGAAACTGGAATAAAACATTTAACAAAAGAAGATAGCCATGACCATTTTAATGGCCTCACTTGTTTTATGGCTATTATCATCCCAGCAGCACTTTGAATATAAAAAGCTAAATGTCTCTACTCCTTTTTTTTTTTTACAAAAGTTGCTTTGAATCGAATTTAGCTATAGTGCCAACAAGTTTTAATCCCTGCAGACAAGTATACATAACAAAGCGCATCATGTTTCATAGCGCTGAATTCAAAATTCCAACAAACACACGCATTTATCTGGACTCTACCCTACTTTTTACCCTTTTTTACTCCAAACAGCAAACAGAAACCGTCTGCAGCCGGACAGCGTTGGGAAAACAGAGATTTGAGGTGACAGAGAGATGATGAGATGGAGTCGTTGGAGTGGGCCGAGCATAAGGAGTGAGTCTATAATTGGAAAGATGTGAAAAATGAAGTGTCACTTTGGTCAATAAGGAGCAAAGGTCGCGGAGGCAGGAGYCCAAACTCGGCACGGAGCACGCTCATTAGAGCAACCAATCAGCTCTTGGCTGGCTGCTCCAGACTATTACTCATCAAAAGGTAGAGGAGGGCGCACACACTTACACAATATCTCTTTGTTTTGCCCCGTTTCAAAGTAATTTCAGAGCGCTTTCATCAGTCCTCTTTTTCACATGATCTATGCTGCAGTTATTTTTTGTTTTAAATGTATGTCTTAGTCTTCGAGGCTGACCATTACTATAGAGAGAAAATGAAAGAGAAAAAGTATGTGAGGGAAAACAAAACAAAAGGGCAAGTGTGTTGGCTTTTCGAACTGGAAGGCATGGCAGCGACTCCAAGGTTCTACCTTCTGGCGCTGGCAGCTCTGCAAACTCCACTCCACATTGCCTTGATTAATACAATATATGGAGTTGCTTTTTTAGCATACACTTTGGAACATACCTCAGTGAGACTCTGTTCTCCTACTCCTGCTACTTTATCACACACCAWTATCCTCACGATGCATAGAAACTGCATCCACATGTGACAATTTGCCCGTTTGGCGTCAAATAAAACTCACACAAACAACTTCATCTTTTGATTGCAAAATCTGTCAYGCAAAAACAAACAAAAAAACAACTTCATGAATTCAAAGCAATTTTTATGTGTCCCTCTTTTGCTTGAACAAGTCTGTAAAAGTATAGCTCGAGCTAAAGTGAAGCATTCAAACTAGTTTAAAAAAATTCTGATTCATTACAAGCAGCGAAGAGATTCTGCAGAAACACTCTTTTCATTAAAAGATACATTTYGTGCTTTTAAATCCTTCTTTTTTACACTTAAATCATTTAGCTAGGGTCTATATAAAATGAAACTGCAATGCTTTGGTCTGAATTTTCTTGTTATTGTAACTCCACAAGCCCCTCTTTCACCCCTTTTCTGAGGTGTGTCCCAGATCAACTTTTGAGGTTGTCTCTTTAAAACCAAATGAGAAGAGCCTTATCCCGTCCCCTTCCTGCTTCCAGATTGGTCCATTTTACCTTGATAGAGGTTTTTACAAACATATAGCAGCACAGAAACATTTCATTTAAGATGTCAACTAGAAAACTTGTCCATCAAGCCTTACATGTTGGAGCCAGAGCCAGAAGAGACAAAATTCAACTTGTCTGCACCTCTAGAGACTTCACAACAAAATGCATTTAACAGCTAAAAAAGTGAATTTTGCATGGTATGTCCCCTTTAACTTAAGCAGCAGCGAAGAAAGTTTTCTGCCATTTGCTCGGTGAATATGACACATTCTGGTGAATTGGACCCTCTGCATCTTTGTACTCTTCTGCCGCATTTTCTCTTACCCTGTTCGCTGCTGTTGTCCCCGCTGTGTGACGTGTGCCCGCCGCTGGAAGGTCCCGGTGTTCCTCCGGAGCGCGTGGACGCCGTGTCATCGTGATCTCTGTTCCAGGACGTCTGTGGAGAAGAGAGACGGCACAAAAACAGTCAATCTGTAAATATTATCAACCGTCTCTGATTTTTTTTATCCTGCGTTTTACAAGAGACATAAAAAATACACAAAATGACATTTAAAATGAAATCATCCTCGGCCAACTCTCAGGGCTGTCACGCAGTAAGGAACGTTTTATGGAATGCAGATTATTAGGGCTTTATGAAAAAGGCGAATAAAAAAAAGCAAACATGTTGCTTTGGTTTCCAGCTTTCTGAAGCATGCAATCCGCGGCTGCCTCCATTTGGCTCAAACCACTAGCAGATGAAAATACAAAACAGCTACAACTTAAGATAGGGTACGGCGAGCGCCAGGGAGTGATGTCATCCAGGCAGAGGGAGAGGGAGCAGGAGGTAAATAAGTCAAGGATTGCCACATCAGAATAAAGTGCAGTGTTTTTGCTTAAAATTATTATCAAAAAAAAAAGAGAGAGAAGGAAAGAAAACCATAGATGACTAGGAATACAGAGTTAAAATTCCTTTTGGATAGCAGGACAGAGACTTAATCAAATAAGCAAATGTTTTCCCACAGTCAAACAAAGTGAAACTAAATACTGCGTGACCAATCCAGCTGAGGCTGAGCAAATAAAATAATTTCAGGTAACTTCAAAAAAAGAAAAAAAAAAGCTGGACTAAATTGAATCTGTTTTAGCTGAAGAGACAGACTCTGGAGGTTTGAGTTTATATATAGTAAGTTGTGTCTAAGGTCAGATGAGTGTCAGCTGCACACTGGACAGTGGTTAGCAAATGGCCCATAGAGGATTGAAAACATAATAACCACACACCACAAACAGTGTAAACAGACAGGAAGGCAGACAACAAATACAATCACACAGCTAGAGACAGATAAAGACACCCAGAGATGCCGACAAACGCGAACAAATGCTGAAAGAATACAGAAAGATCTGCCCCGTACAAAGTAACTATGTAACTGAAACCAAACCAGATGTCTCCCAGTGCTCTGCGAAGCAACATTAGTGCTCGAGACAGGAGAAAAGAGACCTCAGAATAAGAGGAAATGGAATCTAATGTCTTAGATCCAGCTCGATTTCACAAACAAACAAAACACACAGAGCACAAACACTTATCGAGCCTCCTCCACCCCGCCTGCGCGAGCCTATCTTTGCCCTGTGAAAATCAAATGAAGCAGATATCAAGGGGGCAATGTGGCTCTCGCATCTCGCTTTCAGGGCTTCGCGACGAAATGAGTGATAGAAACCCACGCAGAGGAAGAGAGGAGGGAGAGGAGAGAAACACTGTGGGGAACAACTGGTTTCAATTGGGATACTACAGTTGGCACTGCTGCCGCTGCTGCTGTGAAAAGAGTTGAGCTTTCTACAAAGAAGCAGACGTTATTTCATGACACAGAATTTGTTTAAAACAAAATAACAGAAAGAAAACACGAGTCAGCAAACTCAACACATTTGGGGTGTATTAAGGGCTCGTTTGATGTTCTCTGGCTATGAAATTATAATCCAGTGCTTACAGGACGATATAATCATTTTCCAAATTAGGCTTTGCAACGAAAAAAAAGAGAGACTAAAGTCACCACACAAAAGCATGACTGGGATTTTTGATCGGGTAGATAAACGTTGATTTTAACGGGGATAAAATACCAGGATGATTGGTTTTTATTTTCAAACTCTTCAAATTTTTTTGCTGACCAGAGAAGACGAAAAAAAATGAAACACCCATGCATGACCGAGTGACTCCAGAGAACATCAGATGTGAGGTAATCCAGACCACATGCTCAAAACACAATCAGTTAAATACAGCTTTTGCCAATTCTGTTAGAAGAAAAAAACTGCAGCGTTTAAAAAATGAGCAGAACTTGTTTATTCAGAGTTCTGTGAAACAGAGCTGCACACACTATCCCCGGGGATAGTAGCAGCAAGTAGTGAAAAACCCAAGAGCCTCAGCTTGCAAAAAAGGATGTGATTTTTTTCTTCCTTTTTTATCCTTTTTGTTGTAATTCTCTAACAAATTCCATTTGAAAATATAATTAGAAAGTGGAGGGGGAAATGGCAAACTACTGCATTAGCTGTAATTGAACAAAAGAGCGCCTTGCCTGCTGGGAGGTGGCCACTGAGGCCCCATGGGAAACGGGGCGGGGCTGAGACAGGGCCTGGTGGCATCTCTGCGGGGCCGGGGCGTTTATTTATAATCACACGCCGCCCTTGGATAGAGCAGGCCCAGCACTGACCTAACACGCAATTAATACACACACGGCTGAGATAACACAAGTACACACCGGTCACACAGCGTGTGTGTTCTGTACAAACATACACACTCACACACATGAATATTCTTCTCTTGGTCAGTTCGCTCGTGCAAACACTCCCGTAGATACAAATATCTGCCTTACACAAATACACGCACACCTGGCTTATTATCAAAAGGACTCACCTTGACCAGAAGATACACAGAGAGCAAGGAAAACACACACCCTGTGCCAACAACACTTTAAAAACACAAAAAGCAGGGGCACCTTTCAAAATATGTAAATTTACAGGAGGAATAGATGCATAAACAGAAAGCTGAGAGAAAGAGAAGTGTCTCTTCTGGTTCCCTTAATGAGCCACCATAGTCTCTCACGCTCTCTCTCCCCACCTTCATTTTAAATGTTTCCCTCTCTCTCTAAATGTCTTCTGTGCAGCATAAAGATTAATTCAATGCCTAATTGTTCAGTAAATTCAATTTTCCACCTTCCATTCTGCCTAGATTTAGCTAAAGTTCTTAAGTCTTCTAAGCCAAGGGAACCCCGTTTTTGAGTCACGCATACCTTCCTTTCTTCTCCTCCTTTTTTAGATCACCTTTTCCTCCCCCCACCCCTTCCTCACCAGCCTGATTCGCCGTGAAAAGATTTTCCTCGCTGGAAAAGTCGGATTCCGCTATGATCGGTGAGGCATTCCAATCCGATGCGTTTTCTCATTGTGCCTCTTGTCTAAGATGCAAGAGAAGGGGGCTTCCCTTCTCCTCGCTGTGCCAGGGCCCCGCATCGTACAAGCGCTCATGCAAGAAATGTTGCCTTGCCAATTCATTTGCAGTAATAAAGAAAATGGTTCAGGTTGTTGTGCTTTGCCACCCCACTCTGCCCCC